CCCATTCTACGGTTAGTGTTGTGGTATGTTTGAAGTTAATCTGAAACAAAAAAAACGTGTTAAAAGTGCGACGAAACACGAATATTTAACCAAACCAAATAATTTTAGAAATTTGGCATATTGCAAAAGCGTTTATTTAGTTAGTAAAATCCAAAAAATTAAATAGACTACGGAGAACCTCGATTCTGTGTCTGCATTTTCAGACTTTGTGATTATTGAGATGCAAGCATCTAACAGACTGGGGACACCAATCCTAACAGATTGACGTTAATACAACTCACTCCTCCTTAGTGAGGTTGTGATTACTCTAAGATGTGGATAGCCGGAAAACTAAACCCAACGAGTTTGTCGTTGGTAACCACTCCTCTGGTAGCTCACTATATTTATCAGCTTCTGGTCAACTTACCATAGTCAGGTGAACCATGTTGTATTCCGCTTTAAGACGAGGAACTTTAATTGTCCTTCATATACAGTTTTGAGGGGTCGTTGTATGCTTCAGTATGTCCAGTGTTAACTTGCACAGCGTTGCGAATGGCGAGTAACACAATTAAAAGAGCGCTACGCACGCTGTGATACGTTTGCAAGTATGTCTTACGGCCATCTGGAGAAGAATACTAAAGGTTGCCATGTGTTGTTTATTCATTGTTGTAAGACTCCTAAGCTTTTCGAATCAAATGCGCCTACTGCGATACTAATGGGGGCATTGATGTTCTGGTGTGCGAGCATAGTTTTCCTGGTGATAGTTTCACTAACTGGGGACAATGCTCTTCTCGTACTGCCGTTCATATTGATGAGTCTCGTATTTCCATGGAGTTGTTCTGTCGCGTGGATCATGAGAGACGCGCGGTTCGGCATGAATCGCCGATAGACGTTAGCCGGACCGTTGAACGTACGCAATTGAATGGCGGTGCTGGGTAGTCAAGAGCGGCCGCCAATATATTTTTCAGAATGCGAATACCTTGAGAATCAATAATGTGTCCGAGAAAATCTAGGGATTAAGTTCCAATTTGAGATTCTTCAGTGTTTGTAGAGTTACAGTATTTTGGAGTTAATTAAAACAAGGCCCAGGTGCTGGAGATAAGAGTTTCCGTCCGGGTTTGCTATCAAGAGACTATTTACCCAAGTGTGTATTAAGTTGAAACTCCCAAGGGCGTAATCGCTGAATCTTCGAAAATTATGTGCAGCATTTTGTAAACCAAAAGGGCTGCGCCAAGATACGTGGAGTTCGAAAAAAGTAGTGATAGTGGTTTTAAAAAAGGTGTCGGCGACCATAGGAATTAAGTTTAATGCTTGGAACAGATCGATTTTGAAAAAAAACAGTTATGTCCTTTAAAGTGGCTGTCAAGTAGTCGATGTGCGGCAGACGGTAAATATCAGGAAAGATTTTTGCATCCAGTCGCCAAGAATCTCCAATTGGACATAGTAATGATAATATATATTTCTGCAAGGGCAAGTAAACGCCATTTTTACAGGCATGATCTACAAATTACAACATTTATTGGTTCACAGTATGCATCCCAAGCAGGGTTGTTAAATAAATATGATATATAAAAGTGAATATCAGTTCATTCGTTCAGATATACGGAGTAGTCTTCGAAATATTCTCCAAAGTGGCATCTCGTCCACGTTGCACACCAGGTCCCATCTCGGCATAATTGTGTTAGGATTTCGGTCGTGCTAAGTACTTATGTGATGCAACTTTTTAGGTTTATAGTTGCAATGAAGTAGACTTGTAGAGCGCTTGGTGTGAACTATGAATTTGGGGAGCGCGTAGGTCGAGTTTGTTTCAGATGTCAGAAGTTCCATATATGTGGTCTCGGAGAAGGATTCTGACAAAAAAGAATCCGAGGAGCGGCAAGGATCTTGGATATGAACGATAAACAGTACTTAACATTTTGTAATGGAACAGAGAGTGGTATGATAGATTATTGGATTAAATTCATTCTAGCTCTTGTAGTTAGAGTGGGATGTGATCAGAGGCTCCAGATGAGAGAACGCATTAATAAAGAACACTGAGTTGTGATATTTACCAAGGTAGAGTAAGTTCAAATGAAGGAAGGGAAGTCAGGGTTGGAATATGGAGGGCTGTTTATTAGAACAGAAAGTGCATATAGGGAGTGATGTGTCAAGAATACCAATAACTATATCTTTTATTGTCTGACTTTTTTCATCCGTAGTCTGTCACATAGTCATAATGTAAAAGTCCAAGATAGCATGTTTAGGTTCTCTTAGTGGAATAGCTAATCCAGCATAAAATTGGAAACATGAGTCTGAGTGGTCAGCGTAGGAGAACAACCTCAATACCGCAGACTGATTGACTTGCCCTCAAACCTAGAGAGCCTGATACAAACAACAGTCATTGCTGTCGTTTCTAGGAATTATATACAGTGAAGATGCCAATGGGCTTTTTCACTTACTGGATAATATCCAAGTTCATCATTCACCATAATTCGTTTTCGGCGGACCTTAGCTTTTCGGGAGCTGGTCGTCAAGATTTCGAAAATACAAGTGGTCCTGTAGTCGTAATGTGGTTTTTGACATTTGCCGGTTACACACATTAACTTTGGCCGCATTTGTTAAAGTTCAGTGCACTTGTCGAGCATCCGCTGATAGCATGGGTCGATTATGTGGTTAACAGTGACAGGGGATGATCTGTAGTGGTATTGATTCCCAACCGCACGATCTATGAAGCCGAGCATATAATTGCCGAGAAGATTTACATTTGAAACTTAACACTTAGAGGCAAGGATTGGCGAACGCGGGAGCAGTTATTTGATATGGCATGGCTCAGACTTGGAGGTGCAATCATTTTGTGTAACTCATACCCTTCCGTAATCAATTATTATTTTATTCAGAGGTGATAGAATCCATATTCTGATGGTCATAATAAGACGACTTAGTGTAGGCAATGATGTAACTTCCGCGTAAGGTCTTATAGATTAAGAAGTCACATCATGATCAGTCTACAATTTAAAGACCAGGTCTCTTATCATAGTAATAGAGATAAATGTGCCTATACCGAATTACACCAGCATTCCGAAAACCTACAACGTGAAAATGAGGTTCTGCTAACCTCCGTTCGTCCGGGTCGATGAGAAGATTGTGGTGCAGGATCGGATCTACACCAATGACCAAAAAGAAATATCAGGGAACGCGGAAACCCAGTGAAAGAGTTTGCGTAAACTCACATTAAGACAAACATATTACTTACCGTATTTAGCGATGTTGGACAGCTGTGTCTTCATGCTACGGTTATCGCTAACGTGTGCCGACGAGGAAGTTTCTCGGGAGGTTTCTCGTGACTGACGGTTTGGAAATTGAAAAACCCAAGGGGCTCATGCAGGTTCCAAAAGACTTAGAATGATTTCAGTGGTATAAATACTAGTCAGAATTACCTGTCTCTCGTGGTTTAGAGACAGACCTTTTCTATGATGGATTACCTTGCACAGTTTGTGAACGTTTGTGGCTATGACGAATACTAGGATTACGAGTGAGAGTATGACAGAATTGTGTAATGTCATTTCTTGCAATTTGAGTCTGTGTTGCCTTCACTACTGCTAGGAATTGTGCATGCGGGTCAGTCATACTGTGCTTGTGGATGTTAGCTTTTGTGTAGCAGAATCAGGCTTCGATATTGTTGATTCAGAATGGCACGAGTTGATGTGTGAGAGGCCGAAGAGTCTTAATCCAAGATAGCTTAAGTGTCTGTTCCGTCATGATCAATATATGATATTCAAATAGGCGAAAAAATATCCGGGAACTTGAAAAGAATATCACAGTATGTAAAAATCAAAATCAAAACTTAATATCTTGTGTTCCAACGAGGAACGGATTTGTAGTGGCATTGAGTGCTAAGCACACAATCCTCCAAAATGAACATGAAATAACTGGAAAAATAGATATTCAACATTTAACGTGGAGAGAAGACCAGTCTAAGTGTGTTCTCGATCATATTTTGGTGATTGTTACGATACGACGAATCAGTGTAGGCAGTGATGTGACTTCCACATAAGATCTTATGGATCAGGCAACTCTACAATTTTAGGATTGGGTCTATTGTTAGAGCTGTACTAATGACGAAACGGACCATAATTATTTAGATTCACAGTTTATTGTTTGGTGTATCAAGTTACGTCAAGCGTTTGGTCTAAGCTGGCTACTAGTTGCAAAGGATGCCCAGAGCTGCATACCTACTTGCTTTTTGTGCTGATACGTGACGGGTTGCTTTCAGCTACGGTTTGTCAAATAAAACTAATGAGGTCAGAAGCTATGTCAAAGACTTTCAGAAACAATTATTTTGGTGACTTGTAGATCACCAACTTGCATGATCTATGCTGAAAGGTTGGGGCCTACGCGAGTTAGACGGGAAAGATGTGACAAACCAGCTTACCTCAAAGTCTACCTCGCGATCAGCATCTAATTTGGACTACCCCTTCAACGTATCAAAGTACTATGGCTGCTTTGAAGTCCGTACAACTCAGAGAACTCAAAGAAGAGTTACAGAGAAGCTAGTGAGACCACCACTGCATGAACTAGTCTACGGCATACGACTAGCTGATGTGTGTTGGTTATCCATGACTTTTACAGGGATCGACGATCTGTTCGATATTCAGTGACCCAACTGCTGGATGATGACTAGGGCTCAGTGACATTACACTGGCCCGACAGATTTATTTACCTCTATAAAACCCTAGTGTTTGAGTTGATCTTTCCATGCGACAGCGGCAGACTTAGCAGATTCACTTAACTTTCAGAGAGTGGCATTTGGATGAATAATCAAGCTGAATGATTGATGCTGTCACATTTTATTGTTGCAACGAAATAAACTATTTGATACAGATACACAAAGCTTCACTCTTGTCCAGTCTTGAAACTATGATAACCGGTTACTACCTAACTGAGCTTGTTTCCAGGCAACTTCCAATAGATTTTACATCACGTATAGAAAGTTTGCTTATCTTTGTTTATATCGTCCTAACGTTCCAGAGGAGACAAAGGTCACTGGTGGCAATACAAATTTCAAAGATATCGTGATGTTCGAGGCTCGGCTTACGCAGGCTGATGTATGGAAGAAGGTCATTGATGCAATAAAAGACCTCGTACAAGAAGCAACTCTTGATTGTACAGAAAATGGTATCAGTTTACAAGCTATGGATAATGCCCATGTGAGCTTGGTGTCTTTGCTTCTGCGGAGTGATGGCTTTGAGACATACAGATGTGATAGGAATCTTTCATTAGGCCTGAACATCACAAGGTATTTGTATACATAATACACATTAGTCCCAGTGCGTCTAAAATTCTACGATGTGCTAGTGGGAACGATGCAATTACTCTTAAGGCTGGAGATAAAGCGGATACACTGACATTTGTTTTTGAGTCGAAATGTAAGTTTCTCACTGTCATTTAATGTTTTAAGCCCAAGATCGGTCATCGGAATTTGAGATCAAATTAATGGATTTAGATGTTGACCACCTGGGTATTCCCGTAAGTTGTTTTGCTCAAACAATATTTTCCCCAGGATACTGATTATAAGTGCATCATACGAATGCCTTCTGCACAGTTACAAAGGATATGTCGAGACCTAAGCCAAATAGGAGATTCCGTCGTAATATCGGTTGCCAAAGATGGTGTTTCGTTCAGCTCAAACGGTGATTTAGGTACTGGAAATGTCAAGCTTTGTCAGTCCGCTAACGCTGACAAGCCGGAGGAGTCTGTTTCAATAGAAATGCACGAGCCTGTTTGCATGACTTATTCCTTGCACTATTTCAACATATTCACTAAAGCCGCTCCACTCTCTAGCCAAGTTGTATTATCTCTGACTGAGAACGTCCCTGCAGGTAATTTCACATTTAACATAACTTATCTCGTAGTTGTGGAGTTTGAAATTGAAGACCTAGGTTATATCCGGTATTATTTAGCACCGAAAATTGAAGATGATGCCGATTAGGATAACTAAAGAGAACTCAACAGACTATTTTTCTACTTACTGTGCATCACAATAAATGTAAGATTTCTTAAACATGATCCCGTGTATTTTGAATTTGTTCCGTGCCATCTCAAGAAGTAGTATTCAGCAGCCGTACTTTGTATTGTAGCTCTCACTGTTTTGTAAATCTCGCTTGACATTTTCACCAATTTATATTACTTCAAACCTTGTATTGTGTTTAATCTTTGCTAATACCATTAATGTTATTACCTTTACTACTCTAGGATTTGATTTAACAATTTCGTTCCACTGTGCCAATGGGGCATGACAATTTGAACGTAAATAAACACGTTCCAGGTTCTACGTTGCATTTGACCGACTAATTATAATCTTACTATTGTCTAGCCATAAATATTTTATAAGTTCTCGCATGTGCTTGCTGGTGTTATGTTCTCACAGATTCTCACTGACTTGTTTCTATTAAAATACGTGTACTTGTAGGTAGTAACTGCAACTCGCGTGTTTGTAAATGGTCTACTTGGTGTTCATAAACTAAGCTATTGGTGGCTCAGACATTAAATCCTATCGTTCATTTCCTTTGTAGCTGTCTTATCAGATTTAGTTCTTAACTATTAAGTCACATAACTGTTTATTTTGTGGTCGCCGGATCTTGATTATATCCGTCTGTCCACTGAAGGATTAACATTAAGAATGCGCGATGAAGCTCTTCCGTCGTTGTTAACCTACATTTGGCTCTTTAAGTTACTGGCAGCTTGTTGCTGATTGCAAGTAACTAGTAAATTCATTTTGATGATGGCGTAAACTAACACACGGAGGGACACAGTGTTCGTTTGCTCAGCGGACGACATAGTGTACCCACTAGTATTTTACCACAGATGTCTTTGAAATATTGCTCGCATCTGCTGGGATCACCGGGTAAGTAATAGTGAGGTTAGACAGACAGGGTATTAAGGAATGGTTGTAAATCAGTTGATGAGGTTGTGAATCTTCATCGACTGAGATGGTTGGGCCACGTGTTACGTATGCCCGAACACCGATTACCACGACGTGCAATGCCAATCGGTGTTGGAGATGGTTGGAAGAAAGTTAGGGGATGCCAAACCAAAACGTGGCATCAGTGCTTGAAGTCACTAACTTCTGATCTGAGTTATGTTGGTAGATGCAGACTACTTGTTTGGGGTCTGCGTGACTATCGTAACCAATGGAGGAGACTCTGATTGATATGGCTCAGAATCGATCACAATGCCTTCGGTGTATACACTCTCTGTCTTCCCTTAAACTAAGAGATTAAAATCACTTCATATCTTTCTTTCTACGAACTAATTCTTTCTTCCTGTACTATATCCTTATATGCAATTTTTCTTTTATATATCACCATCTCTGAATTAACTACTTTTATGAATCCGGTGTTCATCTTGTGTTAATGAGGTATGGCAACTTGGACCGATGCATATATGTGCCTAGTCCTACGTTGTAGCTGACTGACTGACTAGTGTACCCACCGAAGGAAACAGGATTGTGTCTAGGGAGATTAAATGTTAGTAGTTTGCATTTACTAATATTTGGTAGTAACACATATTGCAATGATACTCAGATTTAATCTATGCGAAAATACGAATTTGGTGTTTTTTCATTGTACGTAGTAATACCCGATAACTACAGTAATCCTAACATTTCATACTGGTTTGGCAAATATTCTGTTCTTTGTTATAGGTTTGCTAAACCAGACGTGCATTTTAGGTCTACTGTTATATCAGTATTCCAGACTTATACTGTTAATTTATTTCATCGAGGATATTTCCATCTGGTCCACACAGGTTTGTTTACATCCCCTTAAGCCTCGGATACACACTGGTGGGATTTTGATCTTGAACCTTCTCTACGTTATTTTTCCTCAATAACTGATATTAACAAAAAACAAATCACGGCTAACCTATGAAAAGTTGTCTGCAGGTGTATTTTTGAGTTTACAGGATCGAATGTTGCGTTGAATGGAGCAATCAGTCATAGTAATCAAAGCCTACATTCTGGGTTATATGGATATGTTAAACAAATCGTAAACACATTCGAGTATGAGGTTCAGGTCAAATTAGTTTAAACATGTACTGTTCATATTCTCGATGTACTGTACTTGCTGTTGTAGGGGTGGGTCAAAAAACCAAACAACCAAACCGGAACAGTATCAACTTAGAATTTCTAGCTATTTGTTTGACCTGTTTGATTGGTATCTTCGAGATCATCTGTGCTTATGTCTGAAAATTAGTATGACTGGGAATCAGTCTCTAGCCCAAAGGGGGTAAGTAGTTCATTTCTAGTTTGTCTACCTATACTGGGTCTCAGCTTATCATTTGTCTATTTTGCTCTTATCTTCCCTATTGGTTTTCACCATGTCTCAACTAGAATCAGCAGACATTTGTTGCATTTTTCCTATCATGGAGACCAGATGAATAGTCTTCACATTTATGGCTATATTTATTATTTATTTCAACACATAGATATTGGTACAAAGAGGCACCAAATACACATGCGCCACACAAATCTCATTCGATATGTGTGAGGGCTGTGATGCTACCCGGGTGCCCAAACCGAAGCAGGATTTATTGCTAAATAAGATATCTAGCTAAACTCTAAACACCACGTGGCAGATTTCTCAATTACAATGGTCGGTTTTGTAATTGATGGACATAAATCATCTAGGCATCTGATAACAACTGCGGCTAATTGCAAAAATCTTCACTGTGTTTAATTAAATTGCGAGATCTGGTTTATTATGCATCGTGTCAACCTATGAAAAGGGGTAATCTACACTGAAGTGAGTAGTTTATTTTGCCAACAGTATATAATTGTTCTATAGTTATCACGTCTAAAATAAAGAAATTAAGCAAAGCATTTTGGTATGTGATATTTGGGGAAGAAATATATTGAATATTTATACTCCTGGATCTTAAAGACTTATATAGTCAAGCCACTTGCTTTTATTTCCTTATGACCTCTTAGCGTAAAATATGAATCTAAAGAAGTAATTCGCGTAAACCGATTGCAATGATTCGAAAAGGTATCGTTTTTCCAATTTGTGCAACTTAGTCGAGTTAGCACAGATTCAGTTAGTCATGATTTAGTGTTACCATTTTTAGAATACAATAAAATCGTTTCCTTTCACTGGTTTCACATCACTTGGATACAGTTCATAAGTATTTAAATTATCATTGAATATAGTTTACATACGAGTTTTATAGTTCTACATTTTGAAAACGAAGTATCTATATCAAGTTAGATGCAATGAGATCTATACATTTTGTATGTAGGAAGATAAATCTTAAGCAATTATATGAAGAAATTTAGCTAAATATAGAGTTGTAATGCTGGAAGCTACAGGCACACATTAGGATAAATAACCAGTAAATGAATTCTGTGATAAGTAGGATGTTTGGACATGTAAAGAAAATAACAGTAGGAGATTTAATGTACTGGTAAAATTGAACTCGTTTGGAAAGTCAGGTGATTCACTCTTATTTATTTATTTATTTGAACGCATAAATATTGGTACAAGAGGGCACTAAATATATATGCGCCACACAAAACAATGGGAATTATAAGTGAAGAAAGGAAAAAAGGAAGGTAAAGAGCGTTAAAAAAAGAACAATAGCGAACAGATTAGTGTAAGGTAGTGTAATAATAATAATAATGGGGGAAGCAGAAACGTACAATCAGAAGAGATCTTTCAGTTAAGGAAGAAGCAACCACTTCTTTATGAATAAAGTAAAAGAAGGTTACAACAGGATCGCCACTGGTTCCTATTCTGAGCCATATCTGATAACGTCTCTAGCCACTGTGTTGCACCATCTCTCGGACCCCCGCCAGGGAGTCGTGAAGGTCCAACAGAAGCCAGCCCTTTGCAGCTTTCTTTCATGCCACGACACCATGTCATACACTGACCACCTCTCCGCTTTTTCCAACCAGTCTCAGTGTCGGCAAATAATGCACGACGTGGAATTCTCTGGGACGACATTCGTAGAACATGTCCAATCCACCGAAGTCGGTGTTTCAAGATAGTAACACCAATTGCATTATCATCTCTGTGCCCGAACACACGATGCCGAACCTCTGCATTACTGACATGGTGTTGCCACTGGATGTCAGCAATCCTTCGGAAACAGCGATGATCGGACACAGAGAGTCTTCTGACGTCCTCAACTCGGAGAGGCCAGGTTTCACAAGCATAGAGCAAAACTTCTCTCACCGGCGTGTTGTAGATCCGACCTCTTACAGCCAGACTAACATCACGAAGGCGCCAAAGATGGCCCAGATTGGCATGAGCGGCTCTGGGTTTCACTATATGTGCATTGATCTCATCACTCACACCCCCACCAGCACTTATGCAGCTACCTAGATACACGAACATCTCGACTACTTCTATCTTCTCACCATGCAGTGTGAGTACAGGATTAGAGTCCTACCAGTCTTGATAAGTACTTTGCACTTCGAAGGTGCGAAGCACATATTATACCTACGGACACTGATTGCCAACCGATTAAGTGCGGATTGCATGCCCTGGGCTTTATCACACAGTAAGACAATATCGTCCGCATACTCAAGGTTGAGAAGTCTTTCTCCAGGCAACAGATCCACACCACCATTACTTACATTCATCAGAGCTGTTTCCAGAATGTCATCGATGGCAAAGTTGAAGAGGAATGGTGAGATTGGGCAACCCTGTCTAACTTCACTGCTTGAATGGAACAATGGAGAGAGGTGGTTGTATGCCCTCACTCTGTCTGAGATGTTTGTATATAGGGTGTTAATAAACTTCTCAGGCACACCCTTCTTCAATAGACAAACCTTGCTTCGATTAACAATCAAATATGATGCACTCGAACGAAACTATTCAGTCAGTCTGCTGGTCAAGTAAAATGTACCAAATTTCTTTTTTTCAGAATCGGTTAGTACTGATTCAGTCGATGAAATGAAGTTCCGAGGAAATCCAAGTATTAGTAAACTATCAGAATCGGTTAGTACTGATTCAGTCGATGAAATGAAGTTCCGAGGAAATCCAAGTATTAGTAAACTACAAGACGTTGCAGCTGAAAGGCCTATACCTTGCTACCTCAGGGCTGTTGAGTATATTGTAGTCATGTAAATTAATGGTTTGTTTAATAGATACAAGAAACCGAAAGTGTTCAACCTAACTAGCTACCATTATTTTACCGGTCTTCCAAAACGAATTATAGGATGTAGACAAGGATTATATACATATAAGATTGTTAAGGTTTGTCATCAAAGTATTATGTCCAATCATTCAACGTAGCTTGTATAAAAATAGACAAAACTGATTTGATGAGCAGTTTGGGTTTTGTTCAGGCTGCAGTTGAATTGACTGTGTCTTTACTAATAGCTAGGTGTATAGCAAGTTGACATCCTGTAAATTTGAGAACTTTGCACGCGATATCTCGGTAGTTTCTATACCAGGCACTCATTATTGACGATAAATCTTGGTGGAAGAGACAGCGTTAGTCACCTTTGAGTACATGAATGGAATGAATATTCCTAATAATATGTTAGTACTCGTTAGCTTAACACTACTGATTGTTTGAAATCCTATCTTCAGTCATTGTTGGGAATGACTCTTAATTAAAATCAGTAGCAACCTAACTGTAATAATCCACTGTTCATTAGTCATATGCTTGGAGATTTATATTTAAAGTTCTAGTCGTCTGCTCCTACTTTTCAAATTTGAGACTCAGTAATCATGCCAGCATATGACTTTGTTTTGATTGTTTAGGTTTTCGGGATAACCATTTGGGGTTTTGGACACAAATCACTTTCTGTAGTAGTTATTAGCACATTATCTGTTGCCTTATTTTGCTTCAGGAATTCAAGGAAGTTCATCAGTCTCTTTTATTATAATGACAATACAATTGATTTATCCACAATCGGTGTTGTGTCTTCGTTACTGTTCGCATTCAATCGACCAAGTTTATAATGCTTTCTTAACAACTACACGATAGCTGTATTCATGTTCAGAGAATTTGATGTTTGTAGAGTTGAGTAGCAGAAGTCAGCAGTGTGAATCAGAAAATCGTTGTAGCACTGTCGCAGACAGCTACGTTCTCTAGCGCTTAATGGTAGAGTTTACTTCACATTTGATTTCTTTCCGTGATAAAATTCCATCCTATTATTCACTGATATAATAAATCAGGGTCCTGTGGCAGAAAAATACTATAGATAATTAATTCAAAGGTTTGGTTTTTAACGTTTTCCAACTCTAATATATCCATGATATGACTTGATAAGCACCCAATACAATTGGTGGGTAAGTCTCTTTCAGTGTGTTTGAACTCTACCAACCATGATTTCTTTCTTAATCTTTAGGCATCATCTACAACCGAGTCACTAGTAAGGGCACGTTTATGATTTGATTACGTAGTTGGTGGAGTTTAGTTCCGTTTGAAGATAGTTTCTGTAACGCGTTATTATCAGTTAGGTGACGACTGAAAACCAAGGTGCACTAAAAGTTTATATCGTCTTAATCTGCGACATCTGAGTAGTGGTCATCTCCGATCCTGATAGAAATCGGAAACCTTTATTTTCATACGACTCGAAACTAATGTAAACAAAATGACCAAACATAACTTTAGCGGTAGTTTGGTTTTGTGTTTCAATGACCAGATCTGTCATTCATACACTATTATCATATATATCGTTATGAGAATGTATCATCTGTTGAAACCATTTAGATGATACATTGCCCCCAAATGCCCTGGTGCTGCCGAGAGTGGGGAGAGTCCGCTCTCCCTCTCGAAATGCTCTCACATGGCCACGCGTATATAACCTCTTTCAGAGGAGTCCTACTCACTGCCTTCTTGTGCCGGGGGTGCTGTTTACGAAAATGAGAGGACGAAAAGCGGATGTCCGGCGCTTTAACCGGGTCACAAACCAATGGTGCACATGGGCTCCAGTATCCTGCGGGAACAAATGGCGTATGAACCAATCGTTGGTCACCGGCTTCCATGGGACTGCATCTTTTTACGATGCTCCACTGCCTTGTGGATCAGACCTTCAGGTCGAAGGCTCGGGGTGTGGCCTAAGAAAACCACCTGCTCTGATCTGGGCACCCAGGCAGTATCACAGCCCTCACACATATCGAATGAGATATGTGTGGTGCATATGTATTTGGTGCCTCCTTGTACCAGTATCTATGTGTTAAAAGAAATAAATAAAATAATGTATCATCTGTTGAAACCATTTACAAATGAATCGTGATACTTAGGTGGTTTTTTTGTATAACCTAGTTATACGTAAAATGAAGACTATACTTTGTTACCGAGAAATTGAGTCGTTCGCAAATGATATTACATAGCTGTTCCCCAAATTATAGATTGATTGTGTATTTGACATTGATGTAATACCACGTGAAATTTCGACACATCACATTTGATGTAAATTACTTCAATGTATGCAAATTTAATAAACTGACATATCTCAAATAATTTGTTTACTCAAAACTAAGAAATTAATCCAGAAAGCGTTGTAGTACTGAACTATATGTTATAAATGTTAGCATCATAAGGGTTCTAACGTTTAATGAATGTGTGTGGTATTGTACATATGATATTAACTGAAAAACGAAGGTATTCGAAGCATTATTTGAAGTGATATCAAGAATAATTATTACTTAAAAGCTATATAGTTACGAAAAACAATAAAGGCAAGCCTAATATTCCTAAAGAAGATGAAAGTGTAAGTTGTAGGTGAAGATAGGAGAAATCTCATTCGACATCATCTCGCAGATAAACCAATCTTCAACTTTTATACAAACGTCGAAACGAAACATTATACGGAATGTGTATGGTGGCTGATTAAGCATGTCCATTTATTTGTTTGTAGATCAAAGTTCTAACTGCCTTTGTAAAATTATGAAATGATGCAGGTATATATGTGACGAAAGAAGGCTGAAGACCAGCTATTTATATACGGTCGCATGAAAACAGGATTTGAATGAGTCCGTTATTGAACTCTGACTTCGTTGTTGATTCCATTCAACTTT